AGCCACTGCACCCTATCCTGGGTGACACAGCAACACCCTATCTCAAAAGACAAAATAAAATAACCCAATATGGTCTCTAATACCATATCATATCCTCTTGAATGAATCCAGGGTTTTTTAGAGAGATGGCTAATTGCAGCTAATAGTCAAAGAATGTGCAAGATGAATGCCACACCAGAAAGTAAGGCACTATCAATTACTTCTAGGGTCATGTCAAACAGTGGGAATTTCATAGTATCAAATGTTTACATTAAAAAAGAAGGTACTCTAGTTATTAATCTAAGGTTCTTATTAAAGAAATTAGGAAACCAGGAAAAACAAAAGAAATTAGGTAAACAAAAAAGGAGCTTATATCTAATACAAAAACAGGAAATAAAATATGAGAGATAAGAACATAAATTGATACAGTGATAATGAAAAATGAGAAACAAGTAATAAAAGCAATTTTTTTTGAAAAAATAATCAATAAAATCAACAAATATCTAATGAGATTGATCCAGAAAAATGGGAGAAGATATAAATCACCATTATTGAGCATGAAAGAGAGGACAACACTGAAGATGGAATGATGGACTCATTCTGTATGGAACCATGTTTCTAGATACATCATACATAGAACTATGATTTTAGATAAAATTGTCAAAATTTTAGAACTACGCACCACAAAGTGTACATCACTTTAAGTAAATTTTTAAAAGCAACTAAAATGTGGGAAAGGGGAAAGATCCAAATGAAATGCATGTATGAAAAGTAGAATCAAATTGTACTATAAATGAAATATATACACTTACAGGAAAGAGAGAGAGAAGTTGATCCAAGTTGCTTTGTGGGGGGAATAAAATGTTTTGAAATGATGCAATGAGATGAAAGAACACAAATAACTTTACACACACATTGTACTCTAGTTGGTAAGCTTGTTCTACACAAGGCTGTGAAATATAAATGGCATGTATGTATAATTAATATACACAGGTTTACCAGCTCTGTACCCTAAGAGTGTTGTGGGAAGTCAGGGACCCCGAATGGAGGGACCGGCTGAAGCCGCGGCAGAAGAACATACATTGTGAAGATTCCATGGACGTTTATTAGTTCCCCAAATTAATACTTTTTAAATTTCTTACACCTGTCTTTACTGTAATCTCTGAACATAAATTGTGAAGATTTCATGGACACTTATCACTTCCCCAATGAATATCCTTGTGATTTATTATGCCTGCCTTCACTTTCATCTCTTAATCCCTCAGGACCCTGTGATTATATCAACTGCACAAATTGTTTGTAGAGCATGTGTGTTTGAACAACATAAAATCTGGGCATCTTAAAAAAAGTACAGGATAACAGCGATGTTCAGGGAACAAGAGAGGTAACTTTGAACTGGCTGCCAGTGAGCCGGACGTAACAGAGCTATATTTCTCCCCTTCCATAAGCAAATAGGAGAAATATCGCTGAATTCTTTTTCTCAGGAAGGAACATCCCTGAGAAAGAGAATGCACCCTGAAGGTAGGCCTATGGACAGCCCCTTTTTAAGGAGTCCCGTCTTTTATGGTGGAAGCCGAAGGGATGAAATAAGCCCCAGCCTCCTATAGTGCTCCCAGGCTTATTAAGTGGAGGAAAATTCCCATCTAATAAATTTTGGTCAGACAGGTTATCTGCTCTCAAACCCTGTTTCCTGATAAGATGTTATCTACGACAATGCCTGCTGAAACTCCATTAGCAATTTTAATTTCACCTCCTCCGGTGGTCCTGCGATCTTGCCCTGCCTCCATTTGCTTTGTGATATTGTATTACCTTGTGAAGTATGTGATCTCTGTGACCCACACCGTATTCGTGCACTCCCTCCCCTTTTGAAAATAGCTAGTAAAAACTTCTTGCTGGTTTTACGACTCAGGGAACATCACGGATCCTGCTGACATGTGATGTCTCCCTCAGACACCCAGCTTTAAATTTCTCTCTCTTGTGCTCTTCCCCTTTATTTCTCAACCCAGCCGAGACACTTAGGAAATAGAAAAGAACCCACGTTAAACATTGGGAGCGGGTTCTCCTGATATAAGAGTAAAGACACAGTTATTATTATATTTTTACATTTCACCTTGTGAAATGTAAAAAAGTAAAAAAGAATTTCTCAAAAAAACTTATAGTGAATACATATTTGAAGGTGTTATTTCAATATAGGGAAGCATGATTCTAAATAGAAGTTCAGAAATGTAGAACGAAAAAATGAATAATGAAAATTGTATGCATATATGTATGTTTAAATTACATTTCACTATATTTATGATGTAATCAAGAAAGTTTTTGTTTTGTTTTTGAGATAGGATCCCACTCTGTCACCCAGTCTGGCACCATTTCAACTCACTGCAACCTTTGCCTACCAGGTTCAGGCGATCCTCCTGCTTCAGCCTCCAGAGTAATTGGCAGTACAGGCAAACATCACCACACCTGGCTAATTTTTTTTGTAATTTTTTTTGTAGCAACAGGGTCTCACTATGTTGCCCAGGCTGGTCTCGAACTCCTGAGCTCAGGCAGTCCACCCGCTTTGGCCTCCCAATGTGCTGGGATTACAGGCATGAGCCACTATCCCTGGCCAAGAAAATTAAAATAAAACAAATTCCTTGATCTTTCCAGGCATTCAAAAAGAGATAAAAATGCTAATTAATGTTAGAGTTTGATAAATAGGTTGATTGTTGTTAATTTCTAGAGTAATCATCTAAAGAATATCAAAACTGTATGGTACAAACTGCCAATAAAGTATGAAATTGAAAAATCAGATTCACAATTTAAATAAAGAAAAATAAAGAGAAAAAAACATCGAGCAGGAAGGAAAAATGTACTGAATAAAAGTATGCATAGAAAAGTCCTAATTATAGGTGAAAGGACTAATAAATACAGGTGCATTAAAACCATGGAATTCTGTTTATCAAAAGACATGCCTGTGGTTAAGTAAGTTGACTAAATCACTTTAGGCAAGAGAGAAGAGGAGAAATGCTTGGGGCAGAGGGACCTAAAATGTAGATGTTCTGGTTTGGGCACTTTCTTGATGGATTTAAAGAAATATCAAAAGGCTGGCTGAGGCAGATTTAAGGAGAGTACTACGAGTAATAAAAAATGAGATCAGAAATTAACAGAGAGCTAGACCAAGAAAGCCAATTTTTTGTTTTTTGTAAGGATTTTGCCTTTCATTCTGAAATATGAAAACTGAGACTTCATCATTGATTTTAGCACCCTGTAGGCCATTGAAACATAACAGATGTTACAGCACAATGTTGGTGGTGGTGTGTAGGTGGGTGGGTGAGGAGAAGGAGTAGTAAGAATATTACAAAAACCTGACTGGAGATTTTAGATACAATTGTCTGGAGATTTAGAAAGGAATAAAGTAAACTGAAGACAGTGAGTACTGATGACTCTTCTAAGAGCTTTGGATATAAAAGAAGTGGAGAATTAGGGTCCTGGCTCCGATGTAATTGCTTTTTCCTTTTACTGAGAGAAATTGATATGAGTTAAGAAGGAATTACTAAGGCAGATAGCAAGGGTAAGGGAGTCCTCCGTAAGGCTTTTCTTTTTAATGAAAAGCAGCCCCAAATCATTTTCTAACAAAGAGCACCCTGCAAACTGGGAGCTTGCATGAGCAAATGCCAGCAGGAACTCAGGACTAGACATTTTCAAGATGGCGGCTCCATCTTCCCTTCTCTGCCAGCCTTGTGTGCTGTAAGCAGCAGACAAAATGGGCCCTATCAACTGGAAAGTCCATTTGCATAAGATTAGGTTGGGGCCACGAGTCTTCCCTGTCCATTATGTAAATGTCACACATTATCGAACCAATCTATGAGCCCTATGCAAATCAGACACCGCCTTCTCAAACTGGACTATAAAATTTGGGGCATTTGCGGCCAGATGGCCTTTTCAAATCAGACTGCTTGCTCTATAGAGGAAGCTGTTTCTCTTTCTCTTGTTTTCTACCTGTTAAACCTCTGCACCTAAACTCCTGGTGTATGTGCTTGTCTTAAATTTTCCTGGGGTGTGACAATGAACCCAGGGTGTATACCCCAGACAACACAGTCACTTCAAAATAACAGATTAATCTGCATGTTTATGTTTTTCTTTGTCAACATGCAGCTGCAAGGGTAAGTACACTGAGAAAGGAGCAGACTTAATAAGGATTGTTCTTTTTTTTTTTTTGATGTTTCAACAATTATTTGTATTGTTACATTCCAAAGAGGACACAGGAAGAAAAAAGCCAGTTGTCCAATAATGGTTATACCTTTCAGAAGAGGCAGCCACAACCCCAGCCCTAGTTAAAAGCTGCAAACATTGGAGTTCAAAGAGTTGCCTCTTAGCACGACCGGAAATGCTGACAAATGTGTATATATTATCAATCCAGGAAGGCTCGGGTTTAAAATAAAATTTCTTTATTGCAAGTGTCCAAGTCCTTGGGATTTGTCCTTAAACGTACTAGAAGATGATGAGTAAGAGCACACACTAGACCAAGACTATGTCTAGTCTTTAGAGTAAACTAGCAAATGGCCAGTTTGTTCTATGATGCATTGCATCAGACATCACAGTACATGAAGAAAATCTGCTTTTTGTGAAAAGTCACCAGGCATTTCAGATCCAGTTTACTATGAAGTGCAGACACAGCAGATACCCAGATAAGACAGTCAGTGCAAAAGCCAAATGGGTAAGTCAACTCTTTGATGAGGCTGGCTACACTGCAAAATATAAATGAAACTCAAAAATAGAAGGTAAGGTCTATTTACAAAAGTTTGTTTAGTAAAGTGACTTGAAAAAAGTTTTAACCACTTCCCAGGGATCCCTCCCCTCTGCCACCAAAAAAACAAACAAACAAAAACAACAACAAAAACCCTGAAAATTATCTTGAAAATCAAGTTAAAACTATGTGGTGAAAAAGAGAATGCTTGTTCCAGGGAAAGGACTTCAAGATAATTTACAGGCAGATTTATTTTTATTAGTAAAAGTAACAAATGGGAAAAGATGTACTGGCTGACTTTGAGCTGTGTGCTTTTAAAAATGTCTCTATTATTACATTAACAAGAAAAAGAAAATCAAGCATGTTTTTGCTTCCAGTTTTGAATCTTTCAGCAACAGTTGGTGAAATCAACAGGGTATTAAAATGAAACCCAGCAAAACCCAGTCAATTATTTCCAGTTGTCTGCCTGTTTCTTTCTAGTCACCTTGAATTCAACCCCAATTAGCTGAGGACAAACAGGTCGGTCAAAGATAGACTTCCGCTGCTCTTGGACTTGAAGCTTCCAGCGCTGCTGGGCGTATTCTACCTTGCTCAAAACGTTGGCTCGACTGCGGGAGCGGGCTAGCACATGGTGTTCATTTGCAAAAGGCTGGTGATCCCCAATATCATCATCGCTCTGTATCACTGTGAGTGTCCAAAGAGGCGCCTCTTCGGTGTGGGCTCAACCAGAGTAAGATATACCATGTACAGAAGTAGAAGGCCCAAAATGGAGAGAGAAATTATAATGGTAACCTTGATTGTGACAGAGCTTCTCTCTTTGTATTTGCATTCACAGAGTAGACAGTATGCTTCTACATCAGGCCCCTGCACAGGCATAGGCTCCACAACATGAAGGCAATCACACTCTTTCTGAGATATGTTCTTATTATAAATATGTCCAGAATTTTCTTTATAGGGAGGGCAGATACATTTACATCTGACATCCTCGAAATTCTTGGCGGCGTCTGACAGCTGCGCCAGCAGCAGCACGGACAGCGCCAGGCACTACAGGATGAGCAAAGAGCCAAGTCGAGGAAGGCCTCCCCACAGGGTCGCCATCGCTGGGGGCCCGGCGGTCCCACTGCCCCGAGCCCCAGCGACCGGCTCCCAGCTCGGGCTCAGGCTCAGGCTCCGGACCCGGCTGGGGATCCTCCGCCCGTGCTTCCGTAGGATTGTTCTTTAGCTAAATATTTAAAACGAAGGTGCAAGTATTTTAGGGTATACATAAATGAAGTGAGGACATAAGGCTTTAAGAGACACTGAAAAAGTGGAACAGTTCAATGAATTATGGGTCCTTGTGGGGTCATAGTTTTCTTGGTGTGGAGTTAATGCATGTTATCGTTGCAGAACTTTCTCCTTAGTTCAGCTAAAACCAGGTTCTTGTCACGCAACCAGGAAAGATTAAACTCGCAGACACATAGAAAGGTGAGTAGCAGAATTTACTGGGCAAAAAGGAAAAACGAAAAAAAAAAAGAATGCTCAGCAAAGTGAGATGGAGTCCTGCTAGCCAGCCCTCCACCTCGCAGATTGATTCCCAGGTCACTACAGGAGCTGAAGAGAGCAGGCTCCTCCCCTGCATAAGGCGGGAATTCCCCATGGCTCCACACTTTTTGCCCCGTGCACACGTTGGGCTCCAGTGCACTGTGGGCATGCCCAGAAAAGCCCTGGACAGGTTCCCTCATCTGACCAAAAGTACCCGGTGTAAACACTTGTGGGGCAGGTGGGAGACTCTCTGGGGACCCCTTTTTATCTGCCTAGCCATTTGACTGTCTCATTGTCAGCTGAAAAGATAAAAAGGGACAGTTGGAGATACTTGAAATTGAGATTTTACTGGTGGCACAGTTATTGGTAATGAAAAAATATCTTTTATGACGACAGGAAATACACATATATGTGTGAAGACAAGATCATTGCAAGAGAGGTATTATTATCCTGCATCCTTGAATATTAAAATCATAATGAGGTCATCTATGAGGATACTGAAGTCACTGAAACTGATGACACAGTGCTAAGTTCGTAACAGTGAGTCAGGGGCAAAAATCTTCGAGGAAAAGAAGGGAGTGGCCTGAGACTGCAAATATTGTTGCAAATATGTGGAATAAGGAGAATGAATTATAATGCTGGTTGTTTACCAATAATAGGATATTACTATTTTGGAAACGCCTTGAGAAAATAGAAAATCAGATATAAATTTTGACAAGAAAGTTTTTGATTAGGCAGTAAGACACCAATATTTAATTATTAGTCAGTGGACATTCATATAACTATAAAGTATGACAAGCATTTAGTAAACTTTGCTTTTCCCTATCAGGGGCATACAACAAATTGCCATTTATGAAGATGACAACTAGATTCATAACTAGATAGCAAAGAGCTATTTCATTATATAAATAAGAATGGAAAGAACCAAAGTAGAGCTGAGGCCATAAAAGGGAAGTAGGAAAGCACTAGAAAAAAAATCTTAATTATACGTATTTTTCCATGTGGTTATTTGGTTAAAGCTGTTATTCGTTAGTGCCTCAATATGGGGAAATAAATTAGTGATTTCTAAAGGACTTCAGCCTTGTATTAAGTGATAACTTTACTAAATACTCATCTTTATTATTTTTAACCTAATAAATGCACCTGTTGTATAACAGCTTCTCCTTATTATTGCGTATACACTCTTGCTTTTATCGTATTCAACAGTATCCAATTCTCTTTCAGAAGTACAACTTGACGGGTAAAATTAAAAACCTGGGAATGGCTGCTATTTACTATGTCTTTCATATGCAAATTAAACCATAAGGAGTAGTAAAACAAATGGCAGTTTTACGTTGAATAAATCTTGAAGCTAAAGAAAGCTGGGAATAAGAACCATGAAATTTGCTTAGGTGGTTAAAGTGATTAAGGTTAACGCCCTCTGAATGCATTACAAACTCTGTCTAGTGATCTGTGTTTGAGTACAGAGTAATCTAATGAATCAATCAGATCCTACATTTCAGCTCAGCTGGTGGAGGGAGAACAATAAAACTTGTGGGACAAAATTGTTCTATTGATCTCGACTTAATCTAATCTCCCCTGCAGTATCTCCTGATCACTGGGTGTCTACCCCTGCAGGACTGTTGCCCTAAAGTAATGACAGCTGGGGTTGTTATTAGGTCAACAATGCTTGCTAGCTCTCTCATTAAGTCCTGTCATCCATTATCAGAATACAATCATCAAAAACATGACAGCAAGCACTTCTCATGAGTTTGAACCATTCTATAAGAAAAACATAGCTGAATATGCACACACACACACACAACAAACACACATACGCACATTTCCTAGTCTAGGTTTATGGATAGGAAAAGAGATTTGGTGCCAAGCCATGTAAGAAAAAATATCTAATTCCCTGTTTCCCATCGATCAAATTAGAATTGCAGGAGTCAGAAGTTGAAAACGTAGGTGCCTTCTTACTTTCTGTTTTTTAAAAATCACTTTATTCAAGACATTGATTATCATTTTTAAAAGGAAATAGGAGCTCATTTCAGTGACAGTATGACCTTCAATAATGCCAGACTCCTGCTGCCTCTAAAATGGCTTTTATGTTTCAAGGGGATTTTTTTTTTCTTTCTTCAACTAAGATTTAAAACTACAGTTGTGAGGTCAGGTGTCTTGTAGAAAGAGATTCAGGGAAGACAGATCCAAAGAGAAATACTGTAATACTTCTGGTTAATAATTTTGAGGAGAAAAACTAAGCAAATTATTGGCATGCTTATTCAGTGTGTAAATATAATTTCTGCATTATTTTTAATAAAGGGGACGACTAATCTAAATCAGTGGAGAGTGAAGCTATTATTTAATTATAAAGTATAATCAATATGTGTAAATGTTAAAGTTGTGGTGTATTCCCCTTTGAGGGTTACCTATGTTTTTAACGAGGCTTGGAAAAATCCACTATTTTCATTGGAAGTCTTCAATGTAATATAAAAACCTTAAAAATTGTATTATTATTCTTAAAATCTTTGAAAATTTAAAAACATTTTAAAACATTGCCTTCTTCATTTGTGTCTAGTTACAAAAAGTGTAATAAATATGTTGAAATGGGGCTAATGACACCTAGGCATTTAACATTCTCATTTTCAGACTTTTACGAACTATAATTAGATAATTACTGCTAATTGGTATGCTAGGATAACAGAACTATTAGTGTGTAAGAGAGTTAGCAATATGTTGAATGTATGGCATTCATCCAGGGATCAGTGGCACTGATGTTTTCTTTGCTCTTTTTTGTTAACATTGAATAAAGAATCACTCTTGCTCTTCATTAGCTCCAAAAGTGATTTTGCTTAAAATTTTCACTAGTTTATGTTTTACACTATTCATGTTTGTGTCTTTGATACATTGCTCTTTTCCAGAGTTGAAGGGAGTTAAACAAATTATTCACTGAGAACTAAAACCTAAAGCCAACCTTGCAAACTAAACTGTGAGGACTTTTTGTATTTTGGAAGTTCTTTCTCTCCTCTTCATTTGTGGAACTATTTTTGAATACGTTTTTATAGCAAAATCATGCTTAAAATCACGAATGCTTTCTAGGGTTATGACCATCATGTTAATACTGGCATTATCTCAAATGTAAAGGCAGCCTGAATTATGCGAAAAGACAGGATGAAGATAACCAGGTGTATTCAAATATAGCAGTAGACATAAGATGGAGAAAGACCTGTACCAGTAATATTAAACTGTGGAAAAGGAGATTAAAATCTCAAGTGGTCTCTTCTATATTCTTCTTAATATATAATGTTATTTAGACCATTTAGAATGAGTTAATATAAATGAATACATTCCTGTTGGCTCTGATTTACAGTTTCAGGGCTAGAAAACTGCCTTAAAAACAAGAAACAACTATGAACACATCTGTTGTAAGATATTCAAAGATATTGACTTCCTCATGGATAAACCAAATGAAGTAAGTTAGTCCCTAAAGGCAGTAGTAAGAATTACTAGATACTATCTGTCATCTGAGCTACAATATTCAACATTACAATTTCTCTAGAAAAATTTGCTTCATTTAATCTTGGTTTCTCCTACACACACGCACACATACACACACACACACACACACACTTTTCAGAATGAATGGAGTAGGATTCTGAGATATAATTTTGCACATAACTCAATACCCAAGAGCACTTCTTTATTCCAATGTTAAAGACTCATTTTAGGCCAACATTAACATTGCTTCTTTATGCTCTAAAATGTCAAGCATGTTCTGCTTTAGAGTCATCTTAATAGACCCGTCTTCCTTGCTAGTTACTCATGGCTTCTAACACGAATAGAAATGCAATGCCTAGAAGCATAATGACATGCCTTAAGAAAATATTACTTGTACCATCATTCATTAATTCACTCAATGACAGATGCACCCATATATGATGAATTTCACCAAAGGACTTTAAGGCAGCTATAATTTTTTTGAAAACATTATTTTCTCCACTAATCCAAATCTGCCATATAGTTATTACATTCAAATGATTCCTTCTTTCTGGACCTGTGTCCATTTGTCTAAATGAGTGATGGTTTTCTCCCACCCCTGACCATGCATCACCTGTATAGCACTTTTTTTTTTTTATCATTCTTTAAGTTCTAGGGTACATGTGCACTTTTTTAAAGACAGTTGTTAGGAATCCATTTCATTAAATAAAGAGCACCCTAGACTTTATTTATATCTATTTATATTTATTGTATATCCTTACCCTCTCAATTGAGCTCCTTCAAAGAGAAGTGAACACTCCTGGTTTCTACTTCCCCCGTACGAATCACTTCATTATGGTATGCCTCGAGTACATCATTTCACAAAAAACTGCTTTTGACAAAGACACAGATGACCTCCTTCTGGACAAATCTAATAACTATTTTAAAAACCTTGGTGTAAATATAAGCTATATTGCAGAATGAGTGGCTCTTGTGTCTTAATTTTTTTGTTGTTGTTTCTTTATCTTGACACCATTTGCTCACCTCTGTTTACTCGTGGTGTAATACTTGAGTTTCTCATTTTGTCTCCAAAGCAGTGGTGCCTTCCATAAATCAGTAAC